CGCTTTGATTTGTTTACGCTTATATCCTAAACAAATACTGGATTAAAAGTCTAGTTGCTCTTATGAATTTCTGTGGGGAGTTTTTATGGACATACGTAGATTTCAGAAAGAAGAAGCGATGAAATTAGATTTGTTCTTCACGTTTTCATCAATTTTTATTATCGACTCTTATGTTCTTTACGCCGTATTTCTGAAACTATAACGCGGATTAGTGTCTAGTTTGCACCATGAATTTCCCTCGGCAGATTCTACTGATATAAGTGATTTCAGAAGGATGCGACGAAATTAGTGTTTTCCAGTTTTCATTACATTCTTAATTACGACTCCTGTTTTCTTAACGCGTACTTCCGGAAACTAAAATCCGTATTCAGTCTAGTTTGCACCAATGAATTTCTCGTCTGAGTTTTACTCACATTCGTGATTACAGAAAGAAGCGTTGAAAATTAGATTTTCCTCCAAATTTTTCATCAAATTTCTAAAATCGGCTAGTTTTGTTTTACACGTATTCCAAATTAATACTCAGTTCCAAGCCTTGTTTGCACCAATGAATTTTTCTTTGGAAGTCTAACTCATATTCGTAATTTAAGAAGCGATGAAATAGATTTCTCTTTAATTTTTCATCAATTTTCTTAATATCGGCTTTGTTTTGTTTTACGCGTATTTCCGAAACTAATACTTCCAAATTCAAGTATAGTTCACCACCAATGAATTTCTCGTCTAGAAGTTTTAATCACCATACGTTGATTTTAGAACGAAAGCGATTGAAATTAAATTTTTCTCAAATTTTGCACCAATTTCTAATATCAAACTCATGTTTTGTTTACCGGGTATTTCCGAAAAACTAATACTCGGATTCAAGTCTAGTTTGCACCAAATGGTGTCTCGTCGCGGGTTCACTCACACTGTGATTTGAGGAGAAAGCGACGAAATTAGATTTCTCAAATTATTCATCAAACTTTTAATTCCGAACTCTGTTTCTTTTACGCGTATATCTGAAACTTAATACTCGGATTACAGTCAGTTGCACCCAAATGAATTTCTCGTCGGTGTTTCTACTCACATACGTATTATTACAAGTAGCGATTGAATAAGATTTTTTTTCTCAAATTTTTCATCAATTTCCTTTAATATCGGCTCAGGTTTGTTTTACGCGTATTTCGAACTAATAGTCGCATTAGTCTTAGTGTGAAAACTAATGAATTTCTCGTCCAGAGTTCTACTGCAACAAGATATCAGAAGAAAGATGAAATAGATTTTTCTCAAATTTTTTATCAAATTCTTTAATATGGAACTCTGTTTTAATCATACGCGTATTTCCAAAACTAATTACTCGGAATTCCAAGTCTAGTTTGCACCAAGAATTGCTCGTCGGGCAGTTCTCCTGACATAAGTGATTTCAGAAGGAAGCGACGAAATAAGAGTTTTCTAATTGTTTCATAAATTTCTTATATCGACTCTGTTTGTTTTACGCGTATTCCTAATTTATCCGGAATAGAGTCTAGTTTTCCACCAATGATTTCTCGTCTGGTGAGTTCTACTCACATACGTGATTTCAGAACAAAGCGGTGAAATATAGATTTTTCTCAAATTTACACCAATTTTTTAAATAATCAACTCTTGATTTTGTTTTACACGTATTTCCGAAACTAATACCGGAATTACAGTCTGGTTTGAACTATGAATATCTCGTGAGAGTTCTACCACATACGGTGATTTCAGAGGAAGCGATGAAATTATATTTTCTCAAATTTTCATCAAATTTCTTAATACGACGCTAGGTGTTTGTTATTACGCTATTTCCTGAAACTAATTACTCCGGATTCAAGTCTAGATTGCCACTAAATAATTTCTGGTCTGGGAGATCTATTCACCTACGTGATTTGAGAAGAAGTGATGAAATTAGAAATTTTCTCAAATTTTTCATCAAAATTCTTACAATCCAGGCTTGGTTTTTCTTTACGCGTATTCCGAAACTAATACTCGGATTTAAAAGTCTAGTTGTACCAAGGAATTCTCAACAGAGTCTACTCACCGTACGTGATTTCAGAAAGAAAGAGATGAATTTTAGATTTTTCCCTATAATTTTCATCAAATTTCTTAATCGCTTAGTATTGTTTTACAGCGTATTTTCGAAAACCAATATTCGCAATGAAGGTCTAGATTGCACAAACTTATATTTCGTCATGAGTTCTACTCACACACAAGATATCAAAGAAGCCGTAATATTAGATTTTTCTCAAATTGTTCATAAAATTTCTTAATATCGTCTCAGTTTTGTTACGCGTGTTCCAAACATACTCAGGATTTCAAGTCTAGTCACACCATTTGAATTTCTCTGGGAGTTCTACTCACATAACGTTTATGTCAGAAGGAGCGATGAAATTAGATTTTTTTTCTCAAATTTTAATCCCAAATTTCTTAATTATCAAACTCTGTTTGTTTTAACCGCGTATTTCTGAAACTTAATACTCGGATTAGAGTTAAATTGCACTAAATAAATGTTCTCTTAGTGAGTTCTTACTGCATTACGTGATTTCTGAAGGAAGCGATAAAATTACTTTTCTTCAATTTTTATCAAATTTCTTCATATCGACTCTTGTTTGTTTTTACGCGTATTCCCTAATTTATTTACTCCCCGAATAGAGTCTAGTTTCCACCAATAATTTCTCGTCTGCGCATTTCTAACTCCACATACGTGATTTCAGAACAAGCAGATGAAATTAGCATTTTTTCTCAAATTTATCAACCAATTTTAATATCAACTCTGTTATTGTTTTACACGTAATTTACCGAAAACTAATACTCGGATTACAGTCTGTTTGAACTAATGAATACTCGTCGAGGGAGTTCTACTCACATACGTTGATTCAGAAGGAAGCGATGAAATTATATTTTTCTCAAATTTTTCATTCAAATTTCTTAATATTGACTCTGTTTTGTTTTTAGCGTATTTCTGAAACTAATACTCGATTCAGTCTAGATTGCACTTAATAATTTCTGGGCTGGAGATCACATTTTTTAATAAACTTGTCAGGATAATTGTTCCGAGTAAGTATTGCTTTAACAATTTGTAAATTTTCCTGATGGAACCTATACACTACTACTTATACACTATTCCAGTTTTGGTTTTTCTGGGGTGTAGGGATATAAAATTAAGAACCTGGGCAGCATAGGCTTCTTTCCTAAACCTATTGGTTATTAACGAATCATTGTTTTTAATAACTGTTACATCCCGAAAAGTAAGCTGTTTGTTTTGATCTTTTTCAATCGTGAATTCCAAATTCAGATGAAATTGATTAAACATCGTAAATAAACAATTTAGTTTTTCTTCGTTAATTATAATGAAAGTGTCATCTACATATCTGCGGTATAAATATCGCCAAATCTATCGAGGACACAGGTTGTGCATGACAGCCTCTCTGCGCATGACAAGCTCAGAAAACAAGCAACTGAGAACTCCTCCTATCGAGGTGCCGTCTTTTTGTCTATAGATTTTATTGTCAAATTTAAAAACCGCATTATTTAGTATAAACTTTATCGCGATAATTATTTCCTGATTAGGGATGTGACATTTAGTGGGCTTTTCTCTAACAAATTTTCAAGTTCCTGGATAATAAGTTCTCTAGAAATGATGGAAACATGGGTTTAACGTCTAATGATATCATCTGATCATGGGGTTCAATATTAATTTGAACGAGATCTTTAACACACCGAAAACTATTTTTCACAACATAGTCATAATATTGTCGTAGTAAAGGTTTTAATATCTGATTTAAGAATTTACTTAACTTGTAAAAAGGGAAAGTAACGGAACTAATAACAGGATGCATGGGAAAATTAACTTTGTGTGCTTTCACAAAGCCATAAGCTAAACAACAATTCGGGGAGAAGGGTATATTTCATAATATGTTTTGTTTACAAAATATTTATGGTTCTTCCACCTTTTAACAATTTCCTGAATATCACGTAGAATAGAATTAGATTTATATTTCTTAAGAATCTCATAATTGGAATCTTAATCAAACCCTGGCTAAGTTTGTCATTATATCACATTGTATTATAAGAAGGTCTTTATGTCTTCGTAGGAAGTCCTGCGTAGCTTGATAATCTCTGATGATTTGTCGGTCTTTGTTATTATGTTTAAGCCGATTACTCAAAAATTCGTTAAGAATATTAGAAAGAGTAAAATGTGCCTGATTTCGAATGGTGTCAGGAATCGACTAAACAGAATTTTCGAATTTTTTAATATATTGAAGAACGGTAGGTTTCTTTTCATTTTCTGTTAACGGAAAACTAAAATTCGATCCAAAAGTTAAAATTCTTTCAATCTCTTTAGGAATATGTACTTCTGTAAAATTGTAAAAATGTATCCCAAACTTAATGTGACATTGTTCTTCATACCCAACGTACCTTTTATATGCTCCGTAGGTTTGTTCAAACAGAAGCCTTACGAACTTCCTAGTTTTCTTATTGGTCTCTAGGGGGAAAATACGATCTAATCTTATTTTCTGCGTAGAAAAGAAAGTTGTTAACATCGAAGGCAAAAACATATTGACCATTTGATCTCTAATTTTGTTTGCAGTTATTTTAAGACGACCTAGTTCGCAAAACTTATCTGCTATAGTCAAACCCAAAGTTTGTCTAAAAACTTTATTCATTTTGTTATCGAAAGTTTTTTAATATTTCTTAGACTGTAACTTGATTTTAGGTTTGTTCTGAGTTAAAAATCTAGGGATAATATTATATTCTTTAAAGAATTCTTCAAACGGGGGAGCGAGGTATTCTTAGAACTTCACTTCCTGCCTGAGCCTGCAAAGGCCGGTATGAAACGCTTAAAGAATCGGTTCGTACTGAACCTGCCTATTTTCGATGTGTATGGCGAAATAAATGTAATTAAATTATAAATAGGTAGCGAACAGATTTTTATAGAAATATCCAATGCTTTAATATGATTGGCTGTGCAGGTGGTGGTAATGATAATATCATGTTTTGCTGTGCAGGTGGTGGCACGCCTGTGCGAGGGGCAGATGGTGGCGCTGGACGAGTTCAGCGGCTGGCAGTGCGACTTCCAAGGCGACTTCCCCGCCAACCTCTCCGCCGTCGTCCGCCATGACACCGACGGCTCCTGCGAACTCCCAGACAAGAACTCTGGATAACCCCACTGTTTCCGCCAGTGACACAGGCGTCACAGAGGCCGATGGGTTGGTTGCCAACAACACTGTCTATTGATAATAGGATGACCACAATCCAGTGATTCACTTTTGAAGGGAGAAAATATATTTTGGATACTTGAACTTTTACCAAGGGTGGTTTTGATGGCCACCTCCTTTTACCAAAGTTCCTGTAGTTAAAATTTTTAATTAAATATCCTAGGCATCTCTGTATTATAATATACTATAAATATGTACAATCAACTATAAATTAAAATAAACTTCCAAGTTTGTGAGAATCATTTGATTGAATAATATAGTAGGGTGATATAAGCAATTTTAATTGATCGCGATCTGGTAATTATCTGGACGTCACATATAGGAGAACAACGGATATGGAAAATCAACAGCGGGAGAAAAATATATAAGCGCCTGTTACTCGAGGACCCAGCAAATGTGGATTCTGACTACACGACGTGTTAGGGGAAGTTAAGTTATACGGACATGAACAATATTTACCCATTGCTTCGTTACCAAGGACAGAGAATAAGAGATTTTCTGGCGAAAAATAAAGTTTTCCCTCCGCATTACAGTACTGTCCCTACACTACGTAAGCCCTATGAGAAAAAGTAAAATTAGTGATTTCATTGTGACCAGTCCCACTAAAATCCTTTATAAGTATGAATCGGGGTCAAGAAAATATGTAGTAGCATATGTTTTCCTGAAGAATATATTCTCGTTCATTTCTTAGACCCTTTTGCAAACTGGAAGACAAACGTCATTAAGAGTCTTTGCCCTGACCACAAAGAAATGGAAAACTCATGTGAGAAGCCACTGAGGAGACATCCCTGAATTGTCTTTACGTGGTTAACTTTCCAGACAAAGGAAGAAAAATTCTACGGGCGCATCAAGCAGTTAGCCACTAAACAATACAAAGGATCTTCACTAAAATTGATTTTCAACAATCAATCTGACAGATGTCTAGGTTCGGTGGATATGAAAAGGATATTTTAGTATTGGGGGAACTTTACACGCCTAAACAACATTTTCAAAATTTATCTCAAAAATGGTTCCAAACTTGTTATTTAGAGTTTTTTCTCTGACAAAGGAAAAACGCATTAAGAAATGTCGTACGTCACACATTCATTGTCTTCTCAGAAGTTTCGTAAAAATTACAAAAAATTACAATTTTTGAGGCGTCTTCCTAGAAGTACAATAGTGGTAATATATTTTCATTATTGAACGTTTTCACAAAAATCACATCTTTAAACAAAGTCATGTTAAATATTTTGATAATATGAATGTTTTAATCGACAAACATATGCGATTTTTAAATTTTAAACAATTGTTTTCACAAAAACGGATTCAATTCTTTAAAAATATTTTCTTTGTACAAAGCAAAGATCGGCTCATTATTTTATAGTTAACTTTTATAACTCATTACTTTCTCTTATTTATATCTCATTATATATATTTCATGGTCTCATATTTAACTTAATTAAAATTAATTATGATTTTGTGATAAAACAGATTTTCTATACGAAAATCTACATATCAAATTTCATATTGAAACCATTTCCAACTTTATTTACTTTACTTGTAAATATTCAAAATTCACAACTGTGACCTATTTATAAGCAGCAGCAATAAAAAAATTAATATACAGGATTGGGAATATCGTTTTTTTATCTTAGAAAGGGAATTATGTATCCAGAAAATTACCTAACCCAAATACACATACTCTAAAGCAAAAAATCACAATTACACTTTGTACAATAACAAAATCAATCCAGCATAAAGTTTCTCTTCTCTCTTGAAGAAAAAAAACGACAAATTAACAAATTCAAATACAATGATAACATTTTTAACACTTTGACAACAATATTAAGGGAGCATCAAAAACAGTTTGTGAAGTTCAAGTTACATATAATTTCTGAGCACTCATTACAACATTCACTGAAATGGGCTTGTTGCTCTCTGCCTTTACTTTTTATTTATACAGGGTCTAATGACCGCTATTTACACTGGAGGATGTCATGACAGGCAACCACTGAACGTACGCATTAAAGGTGTGGCTTGGAGCACTACGGAAATACTGTCAAGAGCCTCTTACGTCTTCGCGAACTGTGCGATGTTGATGCATCTCGCAGTCATGGCAAGTTCGTGATGAGAGATAAGGTGAAAAATAGGAAAGACGATTATTACCGACCTCTTCTCGGGGCCTTGCCCCCATGCAACGGCGCGAAGCTTGCGACGGTCAGCGGGCTGGTGACGCCGAATATACGTCTCCGCGCAGATCCGGGATCTTACACGGCAATGTAGTGTAAGAAAAATGGACGCCCGTGAACCTTGGCGCAGCAGCTTCAGTGTCGTATTCTCTTCGTTCTCACAACGCTCACTACCACTCCGCAATAGCGCATTTTTTCGACCTTCCTGTCTTGCGTCCCAAACTCTTCTCCTCTCTGTTGCTCCCTATCGCGTAAGACAGCACGGACACTACAATTCAATTATCTAAGAATATATATGAATAGCGGTTTCCAACCTCTTGCAGATGGTACTGCCCGCGCGATTTGAACGTAGCGTTGGTATCTGTCAACCGGTATGGTAGGTAAAAGGTTACAATATGGCTTGACATATGAGGCGCTCTAGAGTTCTAATTTTTCGACAGGATCGGGCGAGGTCCTTTCCTCAGACTCACATATAAAAGTCCGACAGGGAGTGAGAATCCCCCTGTGAGGCTGCCTAGATTTTGGCGATAGCTTCAAGGTGGAGGAACGAAGGAGACGGGATGATGGACTCGAGCCACTCGAAGCCGATAATAATAATAATAATAATAATAATAATAATAATAATAATAATAATAATAATAATAAATAAGTCAGTCAAAACAGTAGAACAGGATTACGTAAACTCGCGGAAGATCACAACACCTTGGCTGAACGAAATTTGAAAAGACCTCAGAAAAGCTAATATGCGATCAGATGACATAATAGAAGGAGATACTTTCAGACACAAAGTGGATAAGTGTGGAGTTGCATCAGAGCAACCAAAACAAAAACCATACAGACCAAAGTGGTCAGAAGAACGTAAACAAGGTTTCTCGGAAAGGTTGTAAGCATATTGGAAAACAAGAAAGTAAAGAAAAATTGATTCTCTTACTTAATGTCTTCCATCTATGGGGAGAATTCGCTAATAATAATAATATTAATATTAATAATAATAATAATAATAATAATAATAATAATAATAATAATAATAATAAATCCATTGATCCCACTGTTGGGCAAGGGGGTGCGGATAATGGCGAAAACTTAAGTGCCCACCCTCGAGCTACGCCCCTGGTAGAACAGGACTAGTATGGGGTAGTAGCCCACGTAGGGTATCATGAATGTCCCATAGCACAGTTTCGAACGGCTCCCTGTAAGTCTCGGAACACTTGATAGAATATTTGACGAACTCAAGTTTATAAAAAATGTGTTCGTTTCTCAGTTATAGTTAATGTACTACATTGCAAAGTTGTCGACAGTTTTTGAAATATATTTTTAAAGTATCTTTTTAATGGAATGGTCGTATTGCGACCACTGCGATTTTTATCATTGAGGATAAGGGGGACACATAAGGAACACAAGAACACATACAAACATCCACCTGCGTGGGGAGTAGAACCCACAGCCTTTAGAGCCGTGGTATCCTCGTCCTTTGTGCCTTAGCGACCTCAGCTATCAGACCGGCTAGGCTACATGCGTATTTTCGATCGTTTTAGGAAACAGTATCATTTAGATGTGAGAGGGAGAAGTCTTCTGGTCGATGGCGACAGTGTGCAATCGATCGAGACCGGTCGTTGGTGGTCGCAGTTGAGAGCCCTTCTGGGGAGAGAAAGAGAGTCGACAGCAGCAGGCCTTTCACTTGCCCTTTGACCCGCACCCCCATTCACACCAGCACACGTCAGCGTAGAAATGCCCCGAATTTCAGCGACGCGATAGGGAATGGCGGACAAAAAATTGAGACATGAGGGTGGTCAATCTTGAGAAGTTTCGAAATCGCACGAAGGAGAGGGAATTGGCAAGATGTGAACTTTGTCAAACTTCTGAAATACTACAGTTTAGTGTTGATATACAAGTATTGTATGAATTACGATATTTCGTTTCTGTTAAAAGACTGTTAGATTTTGTTCCTATTATATGAGGAAATAAAAGCAAGCAGGTAGCTTGATTGCATAATTGCCTTTTTGTTGTTGTGAAAACCCTCGCGGGTCATAGAGAACGGAAGACCTTGACACATCTCATTTCGTTTGTTAACGATTCTGGCAGGAAAAGTCCATGTAATTGCCTTTTACAAATAGAATCTGCTAGAATTGATTAAAGGTATATTCTTTTTTTAATTGCTTGCTTCCTTTGAGAAAGGAAAGGTATTGGGATGAAGAAAAAGTTGACATTGGCAAAGTAACGGCCACTCTTACTAGTATGGAATAGAAACATAACATGCTTAGAAATATATTCTATGCGTTGGCACCTAACTTAAGTATGTTGAAACTGAGGTAGAATTGTTTTAAGATTTATTTACATACATTGCACCTAATCTTTGACTTTAACTTGAGATTTCATTTTCTCTTCAATTTTTGATTGATTTTAATTGATGTGATAAGTTTAATTGCCGTCTCGTTACGCATCCAATTAAGGAGAATACAAAATATTTTATACCCACATCCAAAATGAATTAGCATTGAATCATGTAGTCATTATAAAATAGAAATTGTATTATTGCAGTAATGGTAGAAATTAGTGACAAAGCCATTCACATTGTGCAATAAATTTTACTCAAATCTAGAAAGTTTAAGAAAAACTTGTCAGACTAATAACAGAAGCAAACAATGATAATTATTACTTCTTTTAAAAAATATGAAATTTTAAGCAAAGCTTTCAGACTAAGAAAAAGCTTTAAAGCAGTGGAAAATATTAATTTTCAGTAATGGCATTAAAAGTTAGCTAAATATATAAAGGTAACTA